CCCCAAAACCCCAAAACCCCAAAACCCCAAAACCCCAAAACCCCAAATTTTAGAAATGGAGTAGAATTATAATTATTAACATTTGATTGTTATCCCGTAAACATGGTGATTATGCAACTTTTATATGTTTCTCAAGACAATAGGACTAAAACTATCAATATTGAGAACACTACAGATTTTGAAAGAATGACTGTCAAGGATTTAAAGAACTTAATCATGAAGACTGAGTTGAGAAGGACCTACGAGTCTAATAAAAGAAATAAATTATTCAAACTGAATTCTTCTAAGTATTTGAGACATACCAATTTGGCTATTCCCGAGGATGATTATCAGAAGAATTTATTAAATATTTTGCTTTATAATTTCAGACTTATTTTATGTAACAAAGAGTTAAGAGATTCAGACCTTGTGTCTAGGCTAAGCTTCAGACATACCTTTCATTTTAAGGTGAGACTTGTTGGCGGAAAAGGTGGTTTCGGAGCTACCCTGAGGAGCCAGAAGCCAAAGCATCCCATGACTATGAATTTTGACGCCTGTAGGGATTTATCAGGAAGAAGAATTAGACATGTCAGACAGCAACAAGATCTTGAGAATTGGCATAAGCAAAAGGCAGAGGAGGAGAAGAAGATAGAGGAAGAGCTTGATGATTTCAAAAAGCATGAGAAAGAGATCAAGGCTGCTATTAATAACAACGATAGGGCCAAAGAATTGATGCAAAAGAAATTTAAGAACCAATTAGAAGTATCTTCTAATGATATAATTAATGGAGTATTACTTGGCAAAGCTCAAAAGAAAAGAAAGTTTCAAGAGATGGCAATGCTTGATGATGCCAAAAAGAGTACCTTAGTAAAGAAAACCTTAGAAGAGCTCCAGAAAGATGAGCAAGACAAGGAATTTGATTTTGATGATCTTAATTTTTTGCAAAATCAAAAGAAAAAGAATAAAAGATCAAAAGTATCAGAAAAATACGAGAAAGAAATCCACGAAGATAACGTGGATGAAGAAGAAAGTCTCATGATCAAACCCAAGCTTAATACAGAGGAGGAACTAGAGAAGAATGCTAACAAAAGAGATCAGAAAGCTGAATCTAAGGCAATTTATGAGGAAGAGAAAAATACAGAAAAAGATATTTCTCCTCAAGTTTCTGAGGAAGAAAAGAAGGCACTCTTATTCGAAACTTTACAGAAAATTTCAGACATAGATGCTCTTACAAAAATGCTTACAGACGATCAGGTGAAAGAACACTTAGGCTTGTTAGGGTAAGCTCATCATTCATATTTTGTAGACTTAAATCAGGCGGTCGTCCAGAAGAAAGAATAAAAAGACTGATGATGGTTAAGTCTTGTGAGGGAAATATAAGTAAACTCCCAAAGAAGATGTTTGCTAAAAGAAAGAACAAGTAATTCTTCAATTGTTTATCCAGAGTAATAATCCTATTCGAAAGTAGAAAATTATGTATAGTCTTTAACGAATTAGAAAAATTGATTCAAAATTTTAAATAATATTTTCAGAAAATGCCTCACTATCCTGACGAGATTGAGTACTCTGATAAATACTATGACGATGATTACGAATACAGGCATGTCATGCTACCAAGAACTATTTATAAGAAAATGCCAAGGGGGAGACTTCTGTCTGAAACGGAGTGGAGAGGGCTCGGTGTTCAACAAAGCAGGGGCTGGGCTCATTATGAGATTCACAAACCTGAACCATTTATATTACTATTTAGAAGGCCATTAGGAACCGATCCTCTTACTGGAAAAGCCCCAGAAATGGCTTAACAGTGTAAATAACATTGGTAATTGATTTCATTTTAAAGAAAGATTGTGTCTTCTTACCGTTAAGATTTGAATCGTTCAATCACGAACAAGAAGAATGGGGTTTTGGGGTTTTGGGGTTTTGGGGTTTTGGGGTTTTGGGG